GAGGGCACGGCACGGTACGGCAGGGTGCTGTCACCGCCGACAGGCCTGTGCCAGGCCCGGGGAGGGAGCCAGGGACGGGCCCTGGGCAGGGCCCAGGGAAGCGGAGAGGTGGAGCGCTGCGATGCCGTTCGGTGGGAGAACAGCGGGAGCAGTGCCGGCCTTCGCGGGAGGGGAGGGAAACGGGGACGCGGCCGCGACCGCCCTGCTGACAGGGCATTGGTAAGTGAGCGGCTTTGAACGTGCTTCCTGGGAGAAAACAAGGTAAGTGAAACTGAAATACATATTTTAACCTGCTGTCATAACTATCTTTGATGAAGCAATTACTGTTTTTAAGGGAAATTGAGTAGTTCCCTTTTTTATTTTCTAGACCACACTAAAGCTGCTGCACGTTGTTATTGTGGTGAAAAGGTAGGGATAATACTTGAATTGTAGACAGGCTAGGGAAGTAACTGGAGACAAACTATGGTGAATAATACTGAATCGAAAATCCATCAAATCTGAGTATCAGAGGGTATAAAATTAGTTCTTTGAAGATCAGTCTTGAGACCAATCTTACTAAATATTTAATAGAGGTTTTGATGTAGCAATTAAAACTTTACTGCCGTAATGTGGTAGTGATGAAGAGTTGGGAGGCACTGACCGTATGGAAGAGAGTTACAGTACTATGTAGGAAGAATTGGGTGATCCTGAGAACTTAGGGTATGGAGTAAGGTCAATAACAATTTAAAGAATGAGAATGACTGTTTTGAGATGTAAACTTTCAAACAAAACAATTGTAGAAGAAATTCTTACCAGTTGAAAGCAACACAAAACCAAAGAAAGTTAGGTAGTTACAAGATACTGAATTGCAGAAAGAGTAAATGCTGACTACAGCAATACATTTAAGGGAGTTACTATTACCCATGAACAAAACTCTAGAATTCTTTGTATAATGTTAATCATTCTCAGCAAAAAAAAAAACTGGAACAGAAACAGGAAGATATGCCGAGGTCAAGTAGGGAAATTATGAGTTTGTTGGAAGAGATATTTGGCTTTTTTATATTTTGCATAATAATTGTAATTTTGCTTTCTGTTTTACCATCAAGGCAAACACTGTGAGGAAAATGAATTGACCTGAAGCATGATATTAATACGTGAATATTTAACATAGATTTTAAGTTTAATAATATATGAAAATTGCTAACCATGAGAGACCACTGATATTCAGGACCAGCCTTCCAAAAGGTCAAGGAAGAGCAAAAACTGAACACTTGTTAGATGGAATGTGGCTGGTTTGTAAAAATAGTAATTTTTTTTGCTGCAGCAGAGGCCTAAGCTTAGTGGTACCTGTAAACTATAGATCAGTTTTTCTTTTTTGTTTGTTTGTGAAATAGGTTATTAGCAAGAACTTGTTAAATTGTTTTTTAGAAGAAAAAAAATTATACAGTGTTTGCAGTCTGAATAGTAGAGCTGGTGACAATCAGGAAATGACAATGGCTAATTGCTGTCTGTTTTGTGTTGAAGAAAAGGTGTAACGAGTAAGCCAAGATGAGTTGAAGGTTGAAGTGTAGTATGTGCATCTGCTGTCTTCTTACCATTGCAGTGTGAGTTGCAAGAGTGGACACTAAAATTCAGTTCTGATCTGTAATCAGTGACACGTTTCCTCTCTAGGTTTTGGTGTCCTTTAGTTAAAGTTGTCTCATCAGGAAGAGTGAGGGGTTTGAAGCAGTGCTTTAAGTTAATTGTGTTATCTCACCTCACATTCTTTTGAACTTAGTGTTAGAGCACTTATGGCCTTGAAGTCCTGTCTGCAGCTCAGGACCTGAGATACTTGGTTGTCCAAGGTGTGAACTGCTACTTGAGGCTCTTCTAGGGATTTGGGTATGCTGGAATTTTGAGGGCTGCTACTCTTTTCTTTTGGTCAGTCTGTCAGTTAATATCTCCCCACATGATCTCAAGCTGTGGATGTTCCACTTCCAGATAGATCAGTTAATAAGCATATAAGATATTTTAGAAGGCTTTGGTTTATACACGTTATGTGAAATATGTGATCCCTGAAGCATTGAGCTTTCTGGAGAAACCATCCATAGAATGCTGTTAGAGTAGGTGACAGGACTCTCTTGAGTGCTTGGGCTTGTTCCACCAAATTTCCATTGTGAGTGTTTATTGTCTTTGTAAGTTAAGAGCACAGATACTTGAAATGGTCAGTTTTGTTGTGGTTTGCTTTGCTATTTAAAGATGATACTTACTAAATATGTGGGATAAAAGATTTTATCTTGTGCAGTCCCTCACTGCAACCTTGTCTGTACTTAGAGGACCTAGATTCTGGCTTTCATTCATGTGTCAACACCACTTTTCCAAGTGGCATTTTTACTTTATCAATAAAATTTCAATTCCTGAGTGGAACAGCGCTGCTTAAACACCAGTTTTGTCAGTCAGCAAATTTCTGACATCCAAGTAATGCAGCTACATCATCTGAATTTTATAATATAAAATCAAAGGCATAAATGCTGTAATGCTCACTGATGATACTCTTCAGTGTGCTCAAGACCTCTTAGAGTGTCTGACTAGCAGTAGGGGATGGTGACAGAAAAAGGGCAGCAGTATATTTCAGGAAAGACTTGGGGTGTATGGGCTTCCTATGGATGGTGTAAAGTGCTTGTCTGTCTCCTTCACTTCAGAGTTTTTTATCCACAGAAGAATATGCCTGTCCATGTTATGTGTAAGTACCTTAGGGGCTGTTTCTCTCTGAGATTGGGTACATCTTCAGAGTTTTGCTACATCCAAGGCTCATCAGCTTTTACTCAGGGTTACTGAGTAGTGTTGTGGATAAAGGTGATGTGGATTTTCAGGAAGCATTAAAACAAAGTGCCATACCAGAGGCTTTTGAGGAGAATGGATGCATATAGCATCAAAGGCATTTCATACATGCAGAAGTGGTTGGGTTGAAAAATTATAAAGAAGGCAAAAAAAAAATTTCCAGAAAAAGGAAGGAGGCAGCAGGGTGGCACATGAGCTTCAGTGTACACAAAGTAAGATTATGTCTTGGGTAGAATAATCTAAACCATGCTCAAGTGGTGGTGAACTCACAACTGGCAGCCACCAATCAAGAGAAAGTGCTTGGAGTTACCCTTGAATGTTCCCTGGAAACCTAAGCTCAGTGTGCCATGGCAGCCAAAGAGCCAGACTAGGGGATCGGCTTCCTTAAGAGGAAAGACTGAAAAATCAGGATTGTTTACAGAGGTTATTGCTGGGGCATGACCAAGAGTTGTGCAGTGAAGGCAGTGAATAAAGTGAGAGTTACTTATCCAGTGTTGAGGCACTGAAATGGGAGTTGCATGCTGGGGCTGTTGGGAGGTGGTTGCAGATGGACACAGGGAAGGATGACAGGGGCACTGTGGTGGCAGTGTGAGCAGGTTCAGGAAGGGGTTAGAAAGTGAATGAAAAGTCTGTTTAGGGTTGCTAAAAGAGCTGCTCAGGAAGGTCTGTGTGGAGAATGGACTGCAGGAAGCAGCCAGGCTCATGTGCTCTCCTGAAGGAGGATCTCTGATGGCCATTGTTGAAAGCAGAGCACTGGGTGAGCCAGATCAGTCTGATCCAGGATACCAGTTTTAGTCAACTTGATCAGTACTACTATGATCAGTAAGACTGGAATAATTTTAGTTCTACACGGCTCAAGTCTGGTTTCTGAACTGTTAGAATTTGCATGTACAGCCTAGAAAAGGCGGTGAGCAACAAGGTGATAGTGTTTGACAGGACATAGGTTTTAAAGATAGGGTCAGCTATGAAAAGATGCAGAAGAACCCTGTAAAACTGAGTAACTGGATAATGCAATGTACTGGCACATGAGTTCAGTGTAATAGAGGGATTCAGCATAAAGAGAATCCTAACTTCCCATATGAAATACTGGACTCTCAGTAATGAGCAGTATCTTGTAGTTTTGATGAATGGTTCCATGAAAATTTAACAGCACTGTTAAGCAGCAGTGAAAAAGGCAAAACAAACAGTGAATATCACTGAGAAACAAGTAAAGAACAAAGCAAACAATTTTGTCATGACACTTGTTAATCCATAATTCACCTGAACATCCTGATTGAGTCACCCCTGCTCTGTCTCTGAGCTCACAAAACAGAGTAAAAATGAGTGAGACTCAGAGAAGCAAAACAAGAATGGTCATAGACACAGACCCCCTTCCACATGAGGAATGACCAAGAAAGCTGGACTTCATCCTGGAAAGGAATGTCTGAGGCAGCTATGATGAAGGCCTGTAGAGTCATGAGTAGCAGGAAAAGAATAGGCAGTGGCACACAGTCTGTTCTTCCCACAGGAGAGCTGGGAGAGCTCCCACAAGGGAAGCTGAACCCCTGGTTCAGTAAGATCAAAAGATGTTGTTCTTCATAGGAACTGAGTTGGAGAACTTACCAGAGTATCTTGTGGGTATTAGAATTATCTGTGTTGAAGAGGAGAAAGAGCAGATTCAGAGGTAGAGGTGGAGCCAAATACATAAAACCCCCATCTATTTAGAATAGAAAAAGCAATATTATGTATGCTTGCCCTATTCCATATTCTTTCTGGCCTTTGCTTTTTGCCACCGTTTGAAGAATTATACCAGGCCTAAATGGACCTTTGTTGTGATCAGCTGTGGCTACTTCTCTGTTGGCTCTTTATTCACAAAAGTAATAATTGATGTTGACTTTTTTTCACAGTTTCTCTTCATCCTTCCTCAAATAGAACTTGTCAGAGCTCTTCAGAGAAACATGGGTATTGCCGTTCATTGACTAGACACCAGGTTCCATGTATTGAGTCCTTTACAGATGAGTTACTGTTATTTACTAAGTTAAATAAAGGTAGAAGTTTCCACTGTATATGTGATGTCTTTTGTTTTCAGGCTCAGCAGGATAAATTGATGCATTTGGTAAACATCAAATGAGCTACTTCACAGGTTCTTTTTGATCATCTTTCATTGCATTTTTGGTCAATTCCAGTCCCTGTGCAGATCAGGAGCTTGAGATTGGCCTCCCTGATTCTCTTCAGCCTTGCCTGTTGTCCTGGGAATGCTTAGACTTCTGGTTTACTCCCTTCAGTACCTTAAGCCTGAAGTTGGGCAGACACTAGGACTACATATTTGCCTACATGGGGAATTTTTTTGAGTCTAAGCATGGTGAAGCAACTATTTATGCAAAAGTAGTATCACTATGTATATACTAGTTAGACATACAACCTTAATAGTGTTACTGTTTCATCTTTCTGTACTACATAACATGATCCACCATTATACAGTT